ATATAATGTGCCAGAGGGTAGTAAGTGCTATGGGGGAAAAGTACAGAGCAGAGCAAAGGGACTGAGGCATGCGCTGGGGTGGGGTTTGCAATTTTGAAAAAGGTGGTAAGGGTGGGTGTCCTTAAAAGGTGACATTTGAGCAAAACCTTAAGAGTTGGTGAGGGATTTGAGCATGTGGATGTGTCGGGAAAAGGGTTCTAGGCAGAGGGAACAGCCACTGCAAAGACCACAAGGCAGGAGCGTGCCTGGCATTTGATGGTAAGGGGGCTGATGTGGCAGAGGGAGGAAGGGAAGCAGTCACAGAGGGCCAGACCATTGGGTCTTGTAAACCATTTTAGGGACCTTGACTTTTATTCTGAAGGAACTGAAAGCCACTGAGGGTTCTGAGCTGAGCAGTGTCACGGTCTGGCTTACGGTTCAAAGGATCACTCTGGCTGCCGGGTTGAGAGTGGGCTGTGGGAGGACAAGGGTAAGGCAGGAAGAAGAGTTGGGAGGCTTCTGAAATAATCCAGAGGAAAGATGAGGGTGGGGGTGGGGAGCCCTGAGTGGCAGCAGTTGAGACAGTGAAAAGGATTTGGTAGAGCCCTCAGGGTGCCCTGCTTGATGAGAGTGTAATAGAGGCGGGTGTCAAAGGTGACTGCAGAGAAGCTGGCCTGAGCACCAGGAGGATGGAGTTGCCATTACCTGTGATGGGGAGGCCAGTGGGGAAGTGGGGCCGGGGGAGGGGAGACGGGGAGCTCAGCTTGGGGCATGTGGAGCTGGGGATTCTCTTGACTTCCATGTGGAAGGATGCTGTAGACAGACGGATACTGGAAAATGAGAAATCTGGGCTGGAGATACAGATGTGAAGGAGTCAGTCAAAAGGTGGGATAAGATACCAAAAAAAGTGATGGACAGAACAGGGCCAGGGAGCACCCTGGGAGCCTCTGGCCTTGAGACCCAGAGGAGAAGAACAGCCATGGAGACAGTTTTCCTAGAAGTTTGGGAGCTACTTAAGCACACCTTGACCCTCCCTCCCTCCCCTTTTTCTTCTCCTCTCCTCCCTTTAAACGGGCACCTACTATGTACTAGGAACTAGAAAAGATGTTTAGCCCTCAATAAACTCCTAGTCTTTACAAAGACATAAAATGCACATTTATATAATATATACATTTATATAATTTATATAATGGAGACGTAGGCAATAACTGTAGAAATGTGGCTTTTCAGCTGTTAACCAACTACACTAACTACACTGCGGACATGTTTGCGAGCACAAGAGTTTGGAATCTCAAGTTGTCCTCAACCCTTCTCTCACACGTTTAATTTAAATTATTATCAGAAGGCTGATTCACTTGATCAC